GCAGATCCAAAACCCTTGATGGTTTGCGCTTCTTCGATCTCTGTCGCTCGCAATCGAACTCTCTAGCTATTCTTCATCGATCTCTGTCGCTCGAGGGCTTTGCTCTAGCTGTTCTTCATCGAACTCGAACTCGATTGTTCTTCATCAAATCGATCCATTCTATTCTTCATCAAATCGATTTGTTCTTCATCAAATCGAGATCCAAATCCAAAATCGATCTGGTAAAAATTCATTCTGTTCTTCATCAAATCCATTATGTTCTTCTTCAAATCCATTCTGTTCTTCATCCTCTCGCTCCTGGTTTTTCAGGAACTCGATTTTGTGTAGTGGTAAAAATTAATAAATAAATAAAATGTAGCGAGAAACTCATTTACTATAGCATCATTCATTTTATATTCAAGTTTAGAAGTTTGAGTCGGTGATGTTGAGTGTGTAGCTTGTTACTGTTATATTTTATTTAAAAATCCTCTTCCCTGTTGCTTTGATTGATTGTAGACTTTTTGCTTCACTTCCTTTCAGGCGTTCGTTAATAGTGGTGCTCAGTCAACAATCATATCTAAAAGCTGCGCTGAGCGCTGTGGGTAAGTTCTATGTATTGCACTTAGTTCTGAACAATTATACCTTGCTTCCTTAGAAAGATTAGTAATGCAGATTAACATACAAAAACCTGCGCGTGCTTGAACTACCTGTAATCTTGCATTGTTGACACATAATAAAGCATGCATTAGAATTGAGGTCCTTTTGATTTTACCAATTATCTCTTAAACTGTCCATAAATGTATAGAAGAGAGTTAATTTACATAAGAATTCTAAGAATGTGGACAAATCAGTTTTTAGATCAATGCATTGATAATGTTATTCTAATATTGATGGACGACAACAGAAAAAAGTAAATATGACCATTAGAATATGACATACTGTCGTCCTCATCATAATATTGCTTCTAGTTTCTTTCCTTGAAGAGCTTTGAGATGAACACTTGTGCTGGAAAAAAGTAATTTGAAGTTTTCAAAATGTTAACAAGTTTAAAAGTATATGGAAGATATAATATGCTGGTTCATTTAACAACAACTATCATAGATTGGCATTATTATTGAATTAGGCATGTGCATATGTGTGTTTATAATAATGTTCTTTAGTTCAAATGGTCGGGAATTGTGCCCTTCAATTTAATTCAGTTGGAAATATAGAGGTTTTACATTTTTTCTTACTGTATTGAAGTATGCACCAATGCAATAAGAATGATCTAAGTTCATATGATGTGTAGGTGTTTTAAAAATCGAGGTCATCAACATAAGATTTTTCTTTGTTTATATGTAGACAATGCTTACACTTAACATCATTTGCCTTCCCTTTAATTAAGCTATTACATGTAAATAACAAAATACCCCCCTATTTGAATTCAATGAAAATATTAAAAATTATATTTTAATATAGCAAGTTAACTCTATGTATCAAAACAAAATCTGAAATTCTTAGAATTGGCTAAAAATAGTAATTTCCCAAATATATGGCATTTTTTATAATTAATGTTTTAGGTTCCATTTTTAGCTCCTAACTACAAACATTGGAAAAAAAAATTGGTATGAGATCTTCAACTTTTGGTGTTTTAACTCTAAGAGATTCCTAGCTCTCAAAACCAAGTGTCATAAGTTGGCTTTTGGACTCTCACTGGACTTGGACATAACATGCAAAAAACTTGATGGCAAATGCATCTTAATTTTGAACTAATGCATCCTAGACTAATGCAATATACTCGTACATTTTGCCTGAGATTGGATCAAAGCACGCATTTCATTGCCTCATAACATTTTCAGTCACTTGGACACTTTGAATACACCTAACCTAGACACCTAGTGTATGTATGATTTTGTTTCACGCGATAATTTCCACACGCAACCTGTAATACTTGTAGAACTGAATAAAACGTCCAATCCTAGAGAAATTGATATGTGATGCACCTATTATTTTTGTTCTTCTAAGTTTTAGTAAGTGGTAAACCTTCAATGTTGAATTTGGCATCAACTACACGGTGGATTAAGTGAACTTTTATGAAGTTTCCAACTAGGTTTGTATCGAATTGTAAATAAGGAATATCACTAGTCGTAGAATGCCTCATGGCTTGGCCGTCTGGAGATATCATTGGAAAATAGTTTAAATGGGGCTTACATCAGGTACTGATCAATAAACAGTTTCTTTGCGTCTAGTCCTTATCTAAATTGAGGAATAGCCTATTTGTGCTGCTTTACTACAAATTTGCAGTAACAATTTAAGACCGAGCGGTGTTCAGCCAACAGATATGCAAAAGTTTGTTAATTTATGGGCAAGCTAGAGGTCTACATGGATTAGACTTACTCTTTTGATATGTAACTTCTAGTAATTCTGCGTATTATTTTCAATTGCTGATTAGAATTGTTCGTTTGTTCCTCCAATATTTTGCTTCTCCTTATGTTATCATTTTTAGTGAGAAATTTCCTGCTAATATTTGTCTTAGTTTTAGAACACTAACTCCTATGCTGAACTACTCTGAAGTACCCCGATATCGCAAATTATAAAATGGGGTGGAAAAATATATAGTTTTTGTCCTCTAATTGCAGCCCCGGCTTGTTTTCCTGATTGGGAGTAGATTATTGTATATATTGTGAATAATGCTCTGCCAAGTATGCCCACTGTTTGACATCAATTTTTACTGTAGAGTACCAGAGCTGATGAATTACCCTTGTTCCACCTTGGCCTAACTTCAGTGAGATAGTAGTCAAATCGAGGGTTGAGAATGAGAAATTGAGCGAGCGAGCGAGAGAGAGTGAGAGCTTCAAATCGAGGGTTTTGGAAGAGAGGGAAACTGAGTTGTGGTAGACTGAGAAAGAGAGAAGAGTTCAAAGAGACGGAGTTTTGACGGTGAATACATTGACCAAATACGGCGCCGTTTCACTGAGGTCAGACACAACGTTTTTTGAAAACGTTGTATTTCGTGAATTTAGAGTGGCGTTTTCCTAAACGCCACAAAAAAAACGTTGCTATACACCATTTTTCCTGTAGTACTTTAAAACTAGTTTTAATTTGATTATTCTGTCTAAACTTTTGTTATTTTGTGTGTGTATATCTTAGAAAAATTGAGTAGTATTATAAAATTATTAATTTTAACGTCTAATTTAGACGGAAGAATCAAATTAAAACCTTAAAAAATTGACAAGTGTTCCAAAATTATTAATTTCAACTTTCAATTTAGACGGAAGGAGCAAATTATTTATTATTAATTATTTCTATGTTAATAATTATACATTTATATATATATATATATAACAAAAGCATGGCAATTAGTTTGTTTCAGGGAAGTCATGGGCACAAGAAAACTGAAAGGAAGAGTTGATGATCACTTACGAAAAATTTGCTAATTTATGTAATCCATCCTCTGAGTGTTGTATCTTCAGAATGTATGATCACTTACGAAAACAAAATGAGAAAGCCTATGAACCATCAAAAGTTGCTTTTGGTCCTTACCATCATGGCAAACCAAACCTACAAGAAATGGAACTCCACAAATTACGGCACCTACGAAGGTTTCTGTATCCATGAAATGAGACGAGTGTGAATAGATATGTCATGGCCATAAGAGAATTGGAACATAGAGCACGCAAATGTTATGCGGAAGAAACCACTATCCTTGGCCTTGGTGTTGACTCAGATCAGTTCGTGGAAATGATGTTTCTTGACGGTTTCTTTATCATTGAGTTATTTCGCACGTTTATGATGTTCTGCTCGCCAGGTGAAAATCAACAAAATTTCCAATCAGTCCAGCTAGTAGAAGAACCGCTAGCTGAGGGTTATCATATTTTCCAATCACAGCAGATTTTGTATGCCATAGGACGTGATTTAATTCTACTTGAAAATCAACTTCCGTTCTTTATCCTTAGCCGTTTGTTTGACATAACTAATAGCGATTCAAACTTGGGAATCATTCAAATAGCCTTAGATTTTCTGAAAAACTTTACACCAGAGAATAAATTACAAGCTCCTAGTCAAATCTCAATCAACAACATCAAACATCTACTTGACCTAGTAAATAATGTTGGTGTAACGAGACGAAAATGTTTGATGAGACGAATAGAAATGTAATGAGAAAGAAATGGGAGTTCATAAATTCTGCAACGGAACTTCAGGAGGCTGGGGTTCAATTCAAGAAGGCTGAGGGAAGCAACTTGTTTGATATAAAATTCATTAGTGGGGCTTTAAAAATTCCAGTATTATCCATCACAGACTATACAGAGTCTTTCTTGACAAATCTAGTTGCATTTGAGTTGTGTCCTTCATATCATAAGCCAAAGTACGTCTGTGACTATATTGTCTTCATGGATCGCCACATCAATTTCGCCAAGGATGTTCGTTTACTTAACCATAGTGGAATTATTGAAAATTGGGTGGGTGATGATGCAGAGGTTTACTCCATGTCAAGTTGTTCAAAATCACCCTAACAAATCTCGATGACTTTGGTTACTCTGAAGTTTTCATTAATGTAAACAACCATTGTAAGCGATGCCGAAACATGTGGATAGCAAACTTAAAGCGGAATTACTTCAACAGTCCATGGGCATTCATTTCATTTTTGGCTGCTACCACACTACTGCTGCTTACCATTGCACAAACTATCTTTTCCATTCTTACTTTTGGCAAAGGCAGCTTTTGAGTCCCTATTATTGTCTTCTTAATCGTGTGTTAAATTCAAATAAGCAAAGATGCTATATGTTATTTGATTTGTTTCATCATTTTGTGCCATACGATACATTGTCATATAAGAGGTGATAAATTATTGTTTTCTTAATCGAGTGTGTTAAATTTAAATAAGCAAAGATTCTATAATTATCTCATTTGTTTCATTGTTTTGTACTTGTAAATCATAAAGTATTATGATGCAGCGGGAAAAATTTCATAGTCATACCTTTTAGTAGACCCTGAAGCGAAGAATCTCGTGTATAAATTATGTGCTTCCAGGATGTAAACAACTAACCCAGCAGTGGAGTGATACTACAAAAGGAGTATCATCCACACAAGTCACAGTGCAGAAGTTGGATCGTTCTCATATGGGAGAGAGTTAGAGAGAGAGTCTGGAAAAAAAGGTTATGAGTAAAAACCACATAACGTATTTGATATCGATATATTATTCCCATCATATCAGATGTATATCATCAAATATATAACAACCAATATCTATCTATCCATATCTATTGATATGATAGATATAGATATCCTGAATAGTTATCCAAATAAGTTTTGAATTCAAATTCAGACTTACATGGATAATGTTCAAAAGGTTCAGGTTCAAAAGGTTCAAAGGGTCATGCCATATGGGCGCCCAATTTCTAACATCTCCCACTCCCACATGAGTTGGCATGATAGTGCCACATCTCTATCTCAATCTCTCAAAAAATGAACAATCTCATACTAGCCAATGCACCGTGCAACTGCTGAGAACAGCTGTATGTGGGAGCTCTATACTAGAAACTCAAAATGAGCCAACATAGAGACATCAACCCAAAAAGAACAGAAATAGTGTCTCATATACCCCATACCCATCTAATTACACCGGTCCAAAAAACATCTCTAATCCCTCAAAAAGTGCATGTTTGACCCTCTCAATTCTTGCAATATATTCACACTCAATCCGCCTCTCATACAGAGCGATGTGAGTTGCCGGTAGTGAATATACAACAGTGGTGTAATACTAGATCATCTTCCTTTTGCCCTCATGCCATTTAGTTTAAGATTGACCGCTTTCCCAGTTATGTCCCTTTAGACCGAATCATACATGACCGCAAGCAACATGCCAAAGTAGCAAAACATCAACCCCTTACCTTATGACATAGTCAAAAAATCACAAAAGGATAAATAAATGTGTAGACGCGCTCCCGGGAACTCTCCGACATCCGCGCTCGCGAGGGGGGCGCAAATCTCGTTTCGTTCCAAGCTTACTGCTACAGTTCGGACTCAATGTCACGGTTCTGAATTTGGTCTCGCAAGGTGCAATACAAGACCGATAAATCACCAAAGAGTCCAAATCCGGCAAATCATTTTGGAAAATTGATTTTTGTAAAGAAGTGCCAAACATGGACTGCTTTGCTAGATACAGAGTCGCCACCTAAATATTTTATTTTGGGAGAATTTAGGAAACCCTGACTCGTGCCTAAGGCCACGTGTCCGTCATCACCAAAGTTGTCTCGGCTCGGGAACATGGGTACGATTGGGGAAGGTCATGCAATGAGCACCCCCGCTCACCCGATCAAAAATCAGTCATTACTAAGATGATATCTTGTTTTTGAAAACACATGTGTACTTATTCCGATTATTAAACCTAGAATTACTATGTGACGCGCACAACAAACAAGTATAGATTAGATTGCCTAAGTTGGAACAAAACATTGCATATCCGTTTGTTTGAAAAACGGTTTGAAGTTTGCTACTCGTAAGTAGGCTAAATCACGGATTTCAATGAATTATTCCAATTCAAGTAACCCAACCTTCACCCACAGGCATTCAGTCAGTTATAGCAAATAAGCAATTAGCCTCATGGCAAGCATGCTTTCATGGCAATCAATAACACACGTGCAGTATGCTAAAGCGTAAACACTCACAGTGTACTCCGAGCCAAAACAACAACTAGTTAGTAATCAATGCATGATCCTAGTTCATGTTAAGATGGCTAATGCAACACATGCAAAATCTTTTCCATTCTTACTTTTGGCAAAGGCAGCTTTTGAGTCCCTATTATTGTCTTCTTAATCGTGTGTTAAATTCAAATAAGCAAAGATGCTATATGTTATTTGATTTGTTTCATCATTTTGTGCCATACGATACATTGTCATATAAGAGGTGATAAATTATTGTTTTCTTAATCGAGTGTGTTAAATTTAAATAAGCAAAGATTCTATAATTATCTCATTTGTTTCATTGTTTTGTACTTGTAAATCATAAAGTATTATGATGCAGCGGGAAAAATTTCATAGTCATACCTTTTAGTAGACCCTGAAGCGAAGAATCTCGTGTATAAATTATGTGCTTCCAGGATGTGAACAACTAACCCAGTGCACTGTCGGCCACTGGTGTGCTGTGACACCAAGCTACAGTAGAGCACAAAATAGAGAAAATGGAGGGTCTCCCAAGGGTATGTATGCACTATGCCACTCCATATCACCTCAAAACATCAAGGGAGAGGCATAGTCGGATCCAAGACCATCAATCACGCATCCTGGTGCATGATGGCCAAAGATCCAACTTGTGCAAATTCAATGTAAAATGAATGCACAAAAACACATAAATGCCTAGAACTCTATCATGGATAATCAAGAGCATCGGCGACTGAGAATTGAGACACGTTTCATCACTTGAAATATGAAACGTCTCTCGTTTTTTGTGCTCGAATTTAAGACTTAATCCAAACAACAATGCAATACAAGCATGGCATTCACAATGCGACTCAAGCATGCAAACATGTAATGCAATATGAACAACCTAACAAGGCTAATGGCATGCACAATGCTAATGCACGCAACAACTAAGTATACAGAATGCAAACGATGGCATACTCAATGCAATGTAACCTAAGCATACACAATGCAAAGTATAAGGCATAGGCAATGCGATGTAATGCAAGCATGCAAACAACATGTAATCAACCATGCTCAATGGACTTAAACCGAAATGGACAGACCTCAGATATGCCCAAATCAGTGGCCAAAAGTGTTGGAATGAGGGCACAAAAGCAAGGTATGCATGCATAATGCATTAGCCCAAGAATTAAAGCATAAAGACACAACTCTCAAACATGAGCAAAGAGTGATAATCATGATAAGATGGCAATGAGGTAAACTCTAAAATATCATGTAAATGGATGCCATACCCACTAAACAACGTAAGCATAGCATGCTAGGATGTTCAAAGCACGAAACTAGCAAAGGGACTCAAGCCGAGGACACATGAATCAAACCCTAAAGGGCCAAGGACAACCAAAACAGTCCTAGATCATGCCAAAATGAATCTAAAACATGCATAGACCAAGGCCAAAATAAGTCAAAATGGAAAGCATAAAGCATGGTGTAAGTAAGGCCAACAAGGGGGATTGCACTACACTTATTACACCTAAACATGGCATGACTTAACCAACAGAAAACAGAGTTATGGAATGATAAAACAAGCCCCAAAAAACCACTGAGATGGCATCCTAAGGACCTAAGCATAGAGGCATGCACAATGATCCATTCATGAGGCATAAAACACCAACTCTTCAAGGCATTGAAAGCATGACAAAGGCAAGTTTTTGACTATGAAACATGCACTGAAATAACATTTCGAATGATGCCAAAATATGCAAACATCACAAGTATAGCATGGTAGGGGCCTCAAAGCTCAATACTAGTCAAAGCATTTACACTATAGCTATACAAAACATGAGTGATATGACCATGGAAGCCCAAAATAGTCCTAGAATAGCCCAAAATATGAATAAAATCATGCTGGAGCATAGCCAAAATATGCTAGAATGATGAGTCAAAACATCATGTACATAAAGCTAGTAAGCAAGATTTGTTCTACAAGTACATGAGCCACTCAAGAGACTACCAAACCAACTTTAGATAGAGTCATGACATGTCAAATGATGATAAAAAACCCCATTGAAATGAGGCCAATACATGCTAGCAAGACATGCTACGCTGATGGGCCACAAATGGGATTACACTACACATACAAGATGCATGCACAAGGTGACCAAACCAGCCATGGAAAGAGTTAAGGCAGGCCCTAAAAGTCACAAAAAAGTTCCTGAACCAGGCCTCAAAAGTATAGGGATACATGCTCCTTGAATAGGCTAATAACTCAAGCAAACAAAATGAAAAGAGAGGGGGTCACCCCCCTCTGATTTGAAGCCTCAAAACCACATGCTTACCACTGAAAATCCACTGGATTTCAGTGGCTAAATGGCAAAACCAATACTATTCCAAAGGCCTTAAAGCATGGCACAAAACAAGGCCAAACAAGGCATACAAGAGGGTTGTACACCTCTAACACCAAAAAGACCTTAAACAATCATCAAAAACACTTAAAAAAAAACTTTTTTCAGTTGAAAGCAAGGCCTAAAACAATATGCAAGGATGGCCAAAATGAGATACAAACAAAGGCTTAAATGGGGAATATACTCACCCTTGAAGATCAACTTCAAAACCAGTAACCTCAGAGGCCAGAAACCAAGTTCCAGAGCTCAAGTAACCCTCCCAAGAACCTCAGCTCAAAGATGGTGGTTTATCACTATGTGTTGTAGTGCAAAAGTGCAAGAAAAATTGACTTTAGAGCATAAACAAACACAATATAGAGAAATATAGAGAGAGAGATACAACTTCTCCAAAAAAAATTTGAACCTCTGATAGAGAGGAATGGTCTCTCCTTATATAGAAGAAAGCAAGAAGAAGCTTGTTAAACAAGCTTGGCAAGAGCTTGATCCCTCCATACACGTGTATGGATGGGAGAGGAGTGAAAACTAGCTGGCTCAAAAGATCTGGTGTGAAACTTGCTGAGACAAGGGTTCTGCCGGCCATCAGTGGTGGCTGACAGTGGCTCATTGATGGCCGGCAGGCCTCATAAATGGCTGGCAGTAACAAAGGCATGGCCGGCAGTAGCATAAGATGGCCAACAGTGCAC